TGGTTTTGTGCCCATTTGATGGACCCCCCCCCCCCCCCGCGCTGAGCCTCCAGACTATAATGCAATACAAAACTTTAAACTGGACTAAATTATCGAACTTAAATATCTATAGCTGCGTTCACACTGGGGGTTCAATCTGAATTGAACTCAGAATAAAGTCTTATTCCGGATTTTGGCGTCACGCTAAATTCGCTAAAACCCGAACTGAATCTGAATTAACGAATCCGTATATTTTTCCGAATTCAAACCGGAACAATTATTCTGAATCGGGTTTCTTTGCAGTCAAGATTTGAGTGTGGCACGCTTGATTCAGATCAACGGTTTTACAGGAAATGATATCTTTACGCGCATGTTAATTTCTACTTTCGTCTTATCGCGGGAAATCGTGTTATGTGACGCATCGCTTTTAATCCGCGATAAACCGATCCGGAATTCGGATTGTATGCGCAAGCAGTGTGAACGCAGCTGTAGACATACAGTACAGAAGTCAGGGTCATACTGAAACCGGAAAACAATATTAAATGATTTCCAACGCTAGTTTCTAAGAATTGTCGACACGTTAGTTTGTTGAAACTATATTTTGTTCCACGGGCCACATTAAAACCCTTGACAGGCCGGGTCTGGCCCGCGGGTAGTATGTTTGACATGAGACAATCTTTTAAAATATTTTTTGTCACCAAAACTTTAAAAATACTGTGAAATCCTATATTGCAAATATGGTTAATATATTCAACTGATTCTTCGGAAATGAACAAATAAAATGGGCATGACTCTGGAAACTTTAAAGAGACCAAAATGGATATAAATGCAAAGAGATAATGAATTCCATTATTATATTTTTATTAAATTTTTTAAAACAAGTAGTTTTTAATCTATTATGTTTTGTGAAATACGTGAACAGTTCAAATTGAACGGTAGCCACCAACGCCTGCTTAATCCGTTCTACACTTTCCTATTATTATTATTTTGTCATTTTACTTATTACTTTAATATTGTCTTGTAGAATATGTTTTCCTTTTTTCATTACAAATGTCGCCCGAAACCATAGAATACACGACTCCTGTACTGAATTTTATTGTGTCTTAAATATTGGATATTAGGATTCCATATTTTCAATGCAAGATAACAACACCAGTATTGATAGACATGGCCCAATATTGGACACTTTATTTGTGTTTTTAATTTCAAATATTATGGAAAATATTGTGAGCAGACACTAAGCTAGTTGGCCGACATTTTAAGTCCTAAATCGACGATTTTAATCTTAACCACTAACTGTATTTGGAGAATTTTGAGAAGTATGTATTCTGCCTTGATTTATTAAAATTGTAAAGGTTTAATTAGTCTTTGTATATGGCAGTCACTTAGGGCAGAGATCTATCCTCGAAGTAGGGTTGATATTTTTCAGTGTTCAGAATGAGTATCGGTTTGGTCCGGAAAAGAAATAAAAGTATCGTTTAAGCAGAAGGTCCTTTGAAACAATATACAAAGCATTTATATTTCTTTTATTCGACTACTGTACTAAACACGAAAGTACTGTACTTGAAAACTTTAATTTCGATACCCTTAGAACTGGATTAGTGAGAGGTACATCTTATAATCTATTGTATAAAGAAACTGGGTTCACTTCGCTTGAAATTAGACGATATCGCCATAAACTAATTCTATTTTACAAAATGGTGAATAAAATGACTCCAAGTTACTTGTCTATCCTAGTACTTCCCAAATCCCAGGCTATAAATCTGTATAGAAATATTCCTGCAAATACTAAATTTTATAAAAAATAACTCCTTCCTACCGTCCGTAATAAACGACTTGGATAATGCACCAGAACGTATAAAATCGTCACCATCTATCAAAAGTTAATAATGATGATATTTTAGTATCTAAATATTTCTTTTTTACACCGGAATCCATAATTGACAGAATTATAATAAAAGCAACTTAAACTACCAGGGGCGGATCTAGGAATTTTGAAAATAGGGGGGGGGGCGCCGCAAAATGAGGGCACTGACCGCGGAGACGGGGCACGCCACTGAGAGGGGATTTTTTTTTTGGGGGGGGGGGGGTCCCCCAAGAAAATTATCCGTCATTTCCTTGCATCTGTAGCCATTCCAAGAGCTATTTGGCTGATATTTTCGTCTAAGTAAACGTTCGGAAATGTTGAAAAAGAGCCTTAAAATCGAGCAAAAAAGGCAGTTGAACATGTGACTCGAAAATCGTCAAGGCGAGCGAGGCATTATGATGGGAAAAAAGACGAATCTATTCCCTAGCCACTTCACTATTTAAGCCTTGTAACTTGTACTTTGTACTGTCCACACATGAAACAATGCTACATCAAGTTGCACTCATGCGCGTCGTTGATGGGCACGAGTGTATACGCCGCCGATTCCACAAGATGTCTGTCTATAGTCACTCTATAGGATTAGGGCACCGTCAGCTAAACAACAAGAATTCGTTTGAAAGTGGAAGCATTAATTAGACCAGACTGGTGTGTTTGAATCGATGGTTTGAGTCATTTGGGATCCCTGCAACAGGTTGGGAACGGACATATTTGGGTCTGACAAAAGGGCACTTTCAGCAGTAAAAAAGGGCACTATCGAAAATTAGGGGGCGCGCGCCCTCGCGCCCCCCTTGAATCCGCCTTTGACTACCATAAATTCGCCATACACTTAATGGACAACCCCAACTTGTTCCTGTGGCCATTACTGAACACTATTTGTTACTCTGTCCAAATTTTACCAATGTTAGATTCCAAATTATAAATACATTATCGAATATTTTTTTTATTAATTTACAAACAGTGGTAGAAATAATACATTACAAATAAATACGCACATTTTGAATACAGCCCACGAATTTATATATTTATCTGATAGACTTCAATAACCATTGTAAAATATTAGTTGAATTAATTATTTTCTCGATTACAATACATCCCAGAAAAGTATTTATAGGGTGGTTATTTCCAATAAAAGTATGGCAATTTTGGTATATATGGAAAGTAGAGATATCCAATCTTACTAGAAAAATACTGGACTCCCCGAAAAACACTCATGGAGCGTATACAGGACAAAAATGTATGGGTTCCCCTAATCAACAGCCCGACGATTAAGAATTTCTGCACGCGTGATGTCAAAGGTCGCACGCGAACATTGAGCGCTTGATGTACAAATTGATAAACGCTATGAAGAGTTAGACGTGCAACACTTTATGAGATAAAAATGACGGAAAAAGGCGCGGGTAGTGGATAATCCTAGAATTTAATTAGGATTCGATATTTGTAATAAATAGTAAGCGATTAAAGACAACATCGTCTTATGTATGCAATGAATTCTCCTCTGACTCCCAAGACGTGACGTAAACGTGACCTGGTTTGATCGAATTTTAATAGCAGGACATTCCTTCGCAATTTGAGAAGGATTTGAAACATAATTATGACAAATTAATTAGTTTGAATACTTTTTTAGTACATATACCATTAAATCACTGCTACTACGGGCAGTCTACGGGTGAAATTTTAGTAATCCCGTGCGTGAGACTTAAGATCCCTTCATACTACATCCGTATCCGTATCTGTAAATACGTGCGTGAATACGTACTGATATACTTTAGTCATTTTTAGAGAAAGGGTTGAAATAGAATCCGACACGTATTGCGCACAAAAACAACTGCGTCCGTTAACCCAGAGCGTATTTTTGTAAAGTGCGTCCGGCATTTCGGCTAGTGAGCCGAGCTTTAGCAAATCAGCGAGTACTTTCCCCTTATTACATCATCTCCCCAAATAGAAACTCATGCAATCTCTGACAGACAATTCAGCCTTGAAAGCTGGACGTTTTCGCGTTTTCTATTTGAACGGCAAAACGCGGATACGGATGCGGGTGCCGATACGTTTATGGATACGGATGTAGTATGAACCGAGCTTTACGCGTCACTTGCGCTTGTTCGACACCGTAGAAGATCGCAGACTGGTCGTAGAGACTTTTAGTTCTGCACATACAAAATTTTCACCCGGTTTCTCGCGGCTTGTCTGCGTGCTACCAAACCCCACGACCCGTGCGTTTCACCACACGTACGACGGATTGTTTGCTAGGCTTAACTAATGTCAGCATAAGCCATGTAGAGTTATATGAGGTTGATGTTGCCAGGGTACCGGCGGGTTGGGCGCTAGGTTTAACTAATGTCAGCGTAATTGTAGGCCGCAGTGCTGCTGTCCGGACAAACAATCACTTATGGCACACTGTATGGCGTATTCCCGTCTTCATTAACCCAGTTCGGAGCAGAACAGCAGGACGTAAAACCCCATTTTATTTTATCTCATGTGGAATCGGTTATATCTTTAAAAGTATGAAATGAAATGGGGTTTAACGTCTTGCTGTTGTACACGCGGGCTCTCGGCCAAAGTAGGTGTAGAACACGGGACTTCCAGGTTATAGCGATCCAAAGTCTTACTTACTTACCAAGCCACCGTGGCTTCCCGTGTAAGAAATGAAATGAAATGGGGTTTAACGTCCTACTGGGCTAATGAAGACGGGCATACGCCATATAATGTGCTATGAGGGAAATTTTTCCCGGACAGCGCACTACGGCCTACTCTTATATCGAATTCCAACTGTCAAGGGATCTTTTACGAGCACGCCAATGTATACACGGGGCCTCGGTTTTTCGTCCCATCCGAACGACTAGACAGCTGTACATGTCAGGCCCTCCGTCCTGCACCACTGATAAGGGGGGACCACATCCGAAATTCTAGATGAACTTTCTCCGCCAATGCAGGGATCGAACACCCGACCTCCAGGCTAGCGAGCCAGCGTCTTACCCACTTAGCCACGGTTAACAGACAGAAAGGTCTGATAAATTAAAGATCTGATTTTAAAAAATGGGTCTGATAATTACAGTTCTAATAAAAAAAAAACACCGGTCTGATAAAAAAAAAAGTCTGATAAACGAAAACGTCTGATAAAAGAAGGGTCTGAAAAGAAAATAGGGATGCGGCTTACCCTGGTGAAGTCGTTGTTGGCACCCTGACCTGTTACAACCGCTAGGTACAGCCAGGTAAACACTAACACCATTACTACTGCTATATTTTTCATGTCGGAGAAATTCTGTCGTTAGTTTTGTATAATTCGATCGATCAAATGATGAGCGATTGAACACCCTCTTTAAATCGCGTCAACTCGCATCTGGTCTTATATGCTTTAAAACTCTTGTTGACCACACCTCTTTGTATGACGTGAAGATATTGCGTGAATCAAATACTGTGAAACATTCTAAGTGATTGGCACTACAGAGTATTATTAGTAGGAAGCGATAAATAGTTACACATCAGAAAATCTTAATTGCGGGGGAGGGATAAAAGCTTTTTCCTCGTGACAACTTCTCATGGGGGTTTCTCAGTCCTCGCGCAGCCGCAGCGGATCAGACGATGTTATCAGCCAATACAGACTGCATTTAGCTGATATGCTATTAAATAATGAAAGAGCGAGAGAGAGGGAGAGAAATGTGGTTTAACGTCCAATCGACACAAACTAGGTCATTTCGGGACTAACACATGGTTTAATTGTATTTCAGTAATTCGCTGCGCGTAGGGGTCTTAAGCAGTAGGAGGAAACCGGAGGACCCAAAGAAAACCCACGAGGTTGGACAGGCGCCCCAACTCCTTGTCATGTACAACCGGGGAATAAAAAAAACACCAGTTGACACAATGACAGACCTTATGATACAGCGCGCGCGTGCTAACCATCCACCCCCTCCCCACCCCATCAAATAATGAAACATGTCATGATTAAATAAAAATAATTTTAATGATATAATAATAAAAATAATAATAATTTATTTATAATGCGTCTATTACCTATATAAAATACTGCTCAATGGCGCAGTTAACATTTTGTGGACATCAAACATAGAAAATAAAATAAAATGGATGATAAAAGAAATTAAAATGGCATACGATAACAATCAAAATATGGTAGTAAAGTTTATAATAACATAATGACATGTAACAAACAAATTAAAATTGCTTAAAGTAATACAGGATAAAGTAGAACAGCGCCTAAAACAGAATAAAATGAACTCGGATACATATATTAAAAGCCATAGTAGTCAACAGAAAGGTGTGTTTTTAAATTGCGTTTAAAACTTTCAATGCTATCAGATTGTTTAAAGGCTCAATACCACTCTTGTTGTAACTGAATAATATGCCCCAATCTTTATTCTGGTCAACAAATTGTACTATTTTACAATATTCAAATTAATTGATGATACAAATTTCATCTTAACACACCTAATTTAAAAAATTGGAAAAATTCAACTAAATGATTTGAAAAGCCTAACGTAAACCTTTTCAACTGTGACTTGGATTTTAAAATATTTTCGAACCCTCTGGGCAAGTAAAATAGGATGTAATGGATAATTTACACAACAGGTAGGACACTTAAACATCTAGTACTTAGAATAAGGCCATTATTTATTTTCTGGAGCTGTCAAGCCAGCAAGAGTGTTATTGTCCCTTTAATATCGAGAAGTGAGGTATTCCACAGAAAAGAGAAGCGTAGGAAATAGAGCGTTTACCGTAAGATGTGGAATGATAAAAATGTATTTTGAGATCGGAGTGTACGGGATGGAGTATATAGGGAGATTAGGGATTTAAAGGTAATCTGGCGAATTATCTGAATGTAATGAGTAAGTAAGTGTAAGTATTTTGAAAGTGATATAGGAAGCCAGTGTAGATCATGTAAAACAGGGGTCATGTGATCAGTAGGTTTAGTTCTGGTAATGATTCGTGCTGCTTTATTCTTAATTTTCTGGAGGAGAGACAACGTATTTGCAGGAAGATTACATAGCAGGGAATTACAGTATTCCAAACGAGATGTAACACGAGTATTTGCAAGCATTTTTCAGGTTTCATTGTCAGCGATCATGTAACACAATCTACTGTTATTTCTTAAATAAACGTTGAATCCACTAGTCAATATTTCGAGAATGTCGCCATTATCCAATGACTGCTGACGTCACGATTCATCCCCTCTATTTACTCCCGCTGACGGTCATTTGCATTTTTTCGAAAAATATCAAATTCTTAAAAGACAATATTGATGTCAGTCATTATCACATATATGATAGAACTGGTTAAACACGTTCCAAATATAATTTTAACACAGAGATCTTTGCTATGATAGATGCGTTATGAAGATTTCAAGAGAGGGAAGTGACGAAGGGAAAAGGAAAACACAAGTTATCCTTGTTATCCTTCTACGTGTATATAACTAACTGAAGTGACGAGTGATAACAGATACACTGCCGAATTTCTGCTCAGAAATAATTCCTTCTAAGGACAAAAGTTGTTATATGAGACTGTGGGAGGATATCTGACAATTCAACAAAAAAAAATGACCGTCACTAGATAAGAGAAAACGAGAAAAACAGAAAAAGTCCGTGCATTACCATGTTTTTATTAATTATAGAATGAATAAAAAAATAAAAACAAGGGAATGTACGGACTATTTCAATTTTTCAATTACTTTTGCGTTCGTCACTTCCTTTTCTTGAAATCTTCATAACGCATCTATCGTATCTCTGTGTTAAGATTATGTGATAATGACTGACATAAAATAAAATAAACCTAAGTACGAACAATCCAAACCATTAGACAATATTCGAAGTCCTAAAGAAAACCGGTGTAATCAGCAAATGGACTGTTCACCGTGTACAAATTACACGACAAACAGTGGTAACAGGTGTCCGGAAGAGTAAGCTTACACTAATTTCATGCTATAATGTACTAAAATCTACTAATTAACATTTAATCAATCAAACAAAATCAAAATATTCATTCGGATTAAAAACAGGGACTCTCAAAAATATTCAGCGAAATTTAAAGATGGCGACGGTTTGTTTAAAAGGGTTATAAACAAAATGGCCTTATTTAGATAAATTTTAACCATATCCTGTTTTTATTATCTACAACGCATGTTCTCTGGTGTGAAAATTTCTATTTTGAAAATTTTTGTAAATAATGACCGGATTGTTTTTTTTAAAACTGACATTCCTTTTAGAGACTGGGAAATTCTTCAAGTTGTCAAGGAACTTAAATTCCCTGGCCGTTATTTGCATTTGTCAGACAATATCAAATGTTTCACGACATAATCCCTGTGAAAATTTATTCAAACGGATGATTTGAGATTTAATAATTTTAAAAATTATCCCAGCTTTGAATCAGTCGAATTACAAAGAAGCCAATCAAATGTTATCAGTGAAAATCATAGGTGACTCTGGCCTTATATGACTATATCTTATAAAACGTCGGCAGGGGATGTCGAATCTTCCGAGATTTTCAATTCGTCATAACTTTGTAATTACTGTACGGAAGTGAGCTGTTTTTGGATTGATGTTCATTGTAATGATTCGACTTGTAGGCTACAAGGGGTTAACAATCCCTCAACCTAAAAGCACTGAGACGTTTCTTTGTTTTGTGTTGGGTATATAAAATGCTGTATAAGGGTATAGATGCATTATGTCAGGAAAGTGGAAGTGGAAATGGAGAGTGGAATTTGTCACATGGCAGAAAGGTACACCACAAGTCGTACTTGATAGGTACCCACCTCTTCAACCGTAACAAAGTTCGGCAGACTTGCACACACAGGAGAAATTGAAAATAGAATTTTGCGACTGAAGTACCAGCTGGCCCAGGGATACCGCCCAGGGTGACAAGACATCAATCCAATTCCTTGATGCAGTAAGCAACCATGTCCACCTCGACTGATGAGTAAAACGAGTACACTGAAGTCTACTATGTGTGCTATCATGTGCTATATCACCCATTATAAACCTGTAACGGTAAATCTCTTTGATCTTGGGGGTATATTCTATGCCCGGAATAACTTGCGGTCTGACAAGCTTTGGATATACAGGGAAATTTGGGGTTATTCTTCTGAAAGTTTTTCTTTAAACCAGTAAAGGGTTATTCTTCCAGGGTAGGGTTTTTGTTTTCCATAAGAAAACATGATATAAGGTTTTTCTTACGGGAATTCTGTGATATTCTCATCTTGCGTACATGTAAACATTGACGGTTTATAACCAAGATAAAGTCCTCGACTTCGGTTATGCTGGGGAAGAAAAACTTCAGAAAAAACCCTCGACAGAAAAACCTCGGCCTGCCGGCTTCGGTTTTTCTTTTTCTCGGGTTATTTTCTTCAGTCTTTCTTTCCCCAGCATAACTCCAGTTTCGTGCTTTATCCTACACATAACACATTCTACAGTAGATATCGCTTGTGTGATAAATTTCATATTCTACTGCGATAGGAGATATCGCTTTACATGAATTTGATGGGTCAGTTGAAAAAGAACTACTTTTTTTATTTTTAAAGAACAGTTCATTTTTTTTTATCAAAAGTATCTTTTTTTCTTTCTTTTTTTATTATTAAACATGAACTATTTTTATTTAATTGACTTTTATCAAAAAATGATGTATCACTGAGCCGTATTGTAATCAGGTTCAGTAAAAGTGAAGTCTATAGCAAAAAATTATATTTATTTATTTGGGCGATAAATAAAATCTCCTACTCGTCTTTTTTCATATCAAAAAATATCAACAATCGTCAATAAAGTAAAAAAAAACAAATCTGCAGAGCCTCGTTGTTTATTTACTTTATCGACGAGTGTTGATATTTTTTGATATGAAAAAAGACGAGTAGGAGATTTTCTATTTATTACCAATATCAATAAATGATTTATCTGGTATTTATGTTGTGATAAAGAGAGTACTATATCATATGTGTCATAAAAAAGTAAAAATATATTTATATTCATCTCATATATCAGTTGGACTGTTCTATTATTTGTGTGTGGGGGGGGGGGGGGCGCGAGCGCGTTGTATCATAAGGTCTGTCATTGAGTCAAATGGCGTGGTTTCGATTCCCAGGTTGTACGTGACAAGGAGTAGGGTCGTCTGTCCAATCTCATGGGTTTCTCCCGGTCCTCTGGTTTCCTCCAACTGCTAAAGACCCCTACGCCCAAGCGAATTATTAAAATAAAATAGAAACATATGTTAGTCCCGAAATGACCTAGTTTGTGTCGAGTGGACGTTAAACCCCATTTTTCTCTCTCTATTATTTGTGTGTAGGGGGGGGGGGGTAGCGCGAGCG